AGCAGCCTGCCCAAAGCAAAACTTTTCTTTTTCTAATATTTTTTATTTACCTTAGAAGTCCATGTGGATTTTGCATTCCATTGCATATTTCCAAGGACAGCCGCATCTTTCTTGTCAGCGTGGAAGGTAACAGTGTACCCCTCAAACCCTGTGGGCTCTGGCACCCCAAGGACCACCTGGTACACTTTAGGGCCCCCTTACCCCTCCATCCCCGCTTTGCTGCCTCTGGCTCCAACCAGGGTGTGCATGACCATCACTTGGCTCAGGGCTCCCCTTTCCAGAAACCCTCATGTGAGAGGGTTAAAAGCATAGACTGGGCCGGGCGCGGTGGCTCAAGCCTGTAATCCCAGCACTTTGGGAGGCCGAGACGGGCGGATCACAAGGTCAGGAGATCGAGACCATCCTGGCTAACACGGTGAAACCCCGTCTCTACTAAAAAATACAAAAAACTAGCCGGGCGAGGTGGTGGGCGCCTATAGTCCCAGCTACTCGGGAGGCTAAGGCAGGAGAATGGCGTGAACCCGGGAGGCGGAGCTTACAGTGAGCTGAGATCCGGCCACTGCACTCCAGCCTGGGCGACAGAGCGAGACTCCCTCTCAAAAACAAAAAAAAAAGCATAGACTGGTGGTTAAAAGCAGAGGCTCTGGCATCCACCCACCCAGGTTCCAGCCTGGATTTTGTGCCCCAGTAGCTGTGTGACATAGGCAAAGTTGTTCAACCTGTGTGAGCCCCATTTCCGAAAAGGGGATAGTGCTTGTCTTATAGACCTGTTGTGACAAGTAAATGCTGTAAATAGGGTCCCTGGTAAATGATATTATTAGTGCATCACCGAGGTGGGGTGCTAGGCTAGGATTTCGAGGAACTGACTAAAAGAATTGGCAGGGAGCTGGCATCTTGTCCTTTGGGCCACCCGTGTGGTCGATACATAGTAGGTCCTCACGGAAGGTTTGTTAAATGACTGGGGATGAGGGCCTGTACCCTGAGGAGGGGATGAAAAGGAGAGAGGAGAAAAGACCCAGTCCAGCTCACTGCCTGACCGTGCCCCTCAGAGCCACTGCCGGTGAAGCTGGTCTCGGAGCTGACACCACTCACTGTCCACGAGGGCGATGATGCCACGTTCCGGTGTAAAGTCTCCCCACCAGATGCCGATGTCACCTGGCTGCGCAATGGGGCCGTCGTCACTCCAGGGCCCCAGGTGGAGATGGCCCAGAATGGTTCAAGCCGCATCTTAACCTTGCGAGGCTGCCAACTGGGTGATGCAGGGACCGTGACTGTGCGGGCAGGGAGCACGACCACAAGTGCCCGGCTCCATGTTCGAGGTTAGGTCCTGGTGAGGATGAGGTGCTCTGTGTCCTGTGCCTGTACTCCCAACTCGGACCCCAGCTGCCTTGCCTGTCTACCTAGGGACAGACCAGTGGGATGGAGCAAGGGGCCAGTTTCCAACCCCACCAGGCTCCATGGCCTCCTCCTTCTTCCCCACCAGAGACAGAGCTGCTGTTCCTACGGCGGTTGCAGGACGTGCGGGCAGAGGAAGGCCAGGACGTGTGTCTCGAAGTGGAGACAGGCCGAGTGGGTGCAGCGGGGGCCGTGCGCTGGGTACGAGGTGGGCAGCCCCTGCCCCACGACTCTCGCCTGTCCATGGCCCAGGATGGGCACATCCACCGCCTCTACATCCATGGTGTCATACTAGCTGACCAGGGCACCTACGGCTGTGAGAGTCACCACGATCGCACACTGGCCAGGCTCAGCGTGAGGCGTGAGTGCCCTGTCCTCTCTTAATGCCTTACCCACCCCACAGCACAGCCTTTTCTGGCTGTCCTGGAGTCCCTCAGGCCCCCACCAAAGTGCCCCTCACCGCTGAGAAAAGTCAACCATGGCCGTCCCAGCAGCAGCCTGCCCAAAGCAAAACTTTTCTTTTTCTAATATTTTTTATTTACCTTAGAAGTCCATGTGGATTTTGCATTCCATTGCATATTTCCAAGTTGGCTTTGCTATAAACACAAATATTCTCCAGAAAGACCTGCCGTGGGCATCCTTCAGTCATGTATTCTAGGGATACACATACCCACTTAAGTAGCAGGGATGACTGGCAAACAGCACCCCACACGTCCTACCCAAAGCTGGAGCCCTCTGTTTCCTGTGTGACCTCATGCAAGTTAACCTCTCTGAGCCAAGTCTCCTTAAAAATGGGGCTGAGACCAGGTGCAGTGGCTGACGCCTGTAATCCTAACACTTTGGGAGACCAAGGCAGGAGGATCCCTTGAGGCCAGTAGTTTGAGGCCATCCTGGGCAACATAGCAAGAACCTGTCTCTACAAAAAAAATAAAAATTAGCCAGGCATGGTAGTTACTAGGGAGGCTGAGGTGGAATGATTGCTTGAACTCAGGAGTTTGAGGCTGTAGTGAGCTATGATCATGCCATGGCATTCCAGCCTGGATGACAGCAAGACCCTGTCTCAAATTTTTAAAATGGGGTTGATCCCCGTCTCAAGTGTCTCTGGGAACATTAACTGAGATGAAAATTCTTACACAGAGATTGGTAAATGGTTGTCATTGGTGACACATCTGTTCTAACTTATTTCATTCAAGAAATCATCACAATAAACCTGTGTCCCAGTGTTATTCACCTTGTACAGCTGGGGCAACTGGGGCCCAGAGAGGTCAGGCCATTTGCCAAAGATCACACAGCACACTAACTATGTGGTAGAGCGAGGTTCCATTCTAGTGTGTCTGACGCCAAATTCCATGCTCCTTCAAGTGTCACAGTACCCCTCACCCAGACTCCATGACCCCCTAACTACACTTCTCCCACTTCCTGTGCCCTCATCTCCTAACCCTAATATAGCCCTCCCCCTGCCAAGTCTGTCCGCTGTGCCCCTTTCTTCCTGCACACTGGTTCTGAACTTTTTTGGTCAGGACCTTAGCTTGGGTGTTGGGGGGTGTAGGCAGGGCCGAGGGATGAGGATCGACCGCAGTCCCTGCCCAGAGCTGGAGGCCTCATCCTCCCTTTCTCCATCTCCCCCGGCCAGCAAGGCAGCTGAGGGTGCTGCGGCCTCTGGAGGACGTGACCGTCAGTGAGGGAGGCAGTGCCACCTTCCAGCTGGAGCTGTCCCAGGAAGGTGTAACCGGGGAGTGGGCCCGGGGTGGAGTCCGGCTGCATCCAGGGCCCAAGTGTCACATCCACTCAGAGGGCCACAGTCACCGACTGGTACTCAAAGGCCTGGGCCTGGCTGACTCAGGCTGCGTCTCCTTCACGGCAGATTCCCTGCGCTGCGCAGCCAGACTCGTTGTGAGAGGTGTGGCTCCAGGACCACAGCCTGCCTGCTGACCTGTGTGGCCCTACTCACCCCAGGCATGAATACTGACCCCCGACTCGTGTGACCCCATTGACCATGCCTGTCTCAGTGTGGCCCTCATTGACATCCCTGCCAGAGTGTGACACCCCCCTCCGACTCTTAGGCCGTGTGTGGCCCCAGAGACTCCTCTGCCTGAGTGTGGCCCCTGACTGCCCCAGGCTCAGCCAACCACTGACTCTGCTACTGTGAGCATGCCTATGCCATTGTGGTCACTGCTGTCTGCCCGCCTGCACACCACCCCACTGACCACTCTTAACTGTGACCTTACTGGCTACACTGCCTGCCATGGCTCCCTCTGCCTGCCCAGTCCCTCAAATCCACTGACTGCCTGAGGGTGACATCACTAGCAACTCTGCTTGAGTGTCCCCCATGTTTGCTTCCAGCCCCAGGATGTTCCCACTGACCACTCCACTGGCATCTCTGCTTGTTTCCCCATTGCCCTCTGGCCCCCAGCTTCTCCCCCACTGACCACCTTAAAATGTGACTCCCGGTTGGCCACTCCTAACCCATTGGCCCTGTGGCCCTGCCCACCACCGCCCCCCACCCCCCGTCCCCACCACTGACGGATCCTTCTTGGACCACTTGTCCCAGCTCATCCCCCACTCGCTAGTGTCCTCTACTGACACCTTGTGCCCAAGTGTATGTCCTCCTTGTCCCTACAAGATTGGTCCCCATCCTGCTCCCTCTGCACTGTCCTCCCTCTCCCACTCCCAGAGGTCCCAGTGACCATCGTGCAGGGGCCACAGGACCTAGAGGTGACCGAGGGCGACACAGCGACGTTGGAGTGCGAGCTTTCCCAAGCTTTGGCTGATGTTACCTGGGAGAAGGTCAGATCCCAGCCCCAGCCCAGCCCACTTCAACATAACACCAACAATAATAATGCCCCAGACAGAAACAACTAATACTTAAGCGGATGTGCCTGGCACTGTGCTAAGATTTGCATTATATTTTATCCCTTACTCCAAGGACAACTCTAGGAGGTAGGTCTTGTCCCTGTGATAGCTATGAGGAAACTGATGCTCAGTGGAACAAATTACCTACCCAAGGGCAGACAAAAGGTAGAGCCCATATTTGAATCCAGGTTTGCCTAACTCCAGAATCCGTGCCCATGTCCCCTGTGATCCATACCTGGCTCTGGGCTTCCCGAGCACCTTGGCGGCCCTAAGGTCCCCAAAAAGTGACACTTTTTCAAAGAGGCTCCTGGCACGACCCCAAAGGCGTGGGGACAGCCCGACCCCAGCCTGGGAACACGAGACACGCATAAACGCGCCTCGAGACTGCTTGGCATTAACAGAGGGTGCTGCCGCCTGCCAGGGCCGGGGTCGCCTGTGCCCAGCCGGGCCCGCCCCGACCCTCTGCAACTCCCGCCCCTAGGACGGGAACGCGCTCACTCCCAGTCCGCGGCTCCGGCTCCAGGCCCTCGGCACGCGCCGCCTTCTCCAGCTGCGGCGCTGCGGCCCCTCGGACGCCGGGACCTACAGCTGCGCGGTGGGGACGACCCGCGCCGGGCCGGTCCGCCTGACCGTGCGCGGTGGGTATGGGGTGATGCGGAGGCTGGGCACTGCTTTGGGCATGAGACTTGCGAAGCGGTCTTCCCCCGACCCCGCTGACCGCGCGTGCTTCTAGAAAGGGGGCGTGGAGGGGGCGTGGCCGGTACCTGCCCTCCACCCCGCCCCGCTCACGCCCCGGGCTCCGCCCCAGAACGTACGGTGGCGGTGCTCTCCGAGCTGCGGTCGGTGAGCGCCCGTGAAGGCGACGGCGCCACGTTCGAGTGCACCGTATCGGAGGTCGAAACCACAGGGCGCTGGGAGCTCGGAGGCCGCCCGCTGAGACCCGGAGCCCGCGTCCGCATCAGACAGGAAGGTCTGGCCTCCTGGTTACCCTCTCGGGCCCCTCGCTGCCCCGCCCAGACTCGGACAGATCCCGCCCCACCGGGACAAGCCCCGCCCCTGACTCGGACGGGCCCCGCCCCGCGGCCCTGTGAGCCTCGTCCCCAGTCTTTCCCCCGCCCCCAGCCCCGAGTCTCGGACCGCTAGTCTTCCCGCTCGGTATCCCGGTTCCGCCCACCCTAGCGTACACTAACGGTGTCCGAACCGACCCAGGGGCCTGCTGCGCCCCCACCTTCGTCCCTAGCGCTCCTCAGAGGTGGCTCCGGCCTCGCTAGCGACCCCCTCACCCCCAGGGAAGAAACACATTCTGGTGCTTAGCGAGCTGCGGGCCGAAGACGCCGGTGAAGTACGCTTCCAGGCGGGGCCCGCCCAGTCCTTGGCTCTACTGGAAGTGGAGGGTAAGCACCTGGGAGGGGAGCCCCAGAGAGTACATCCTCTGTCTCCTGCCATGGGACTGACGGACTTGGGGCTGGCCCCAAGAACGCTGCCTCTCTCTCTTCCCCTCCCCCCGAGAGGCTGTCCTGGGCCGGGTCACAGAGGGCAGCGCGTTTCCCCGGGAAGAGGAGACTTTGGGTCTGAGGTGCAAGGGAACGGACTGGTGGCATAGAGGGCTAAGGCCAGGAGTGGAGGCTGCAGGGAGGGAAGATGCATCTCTTCTCCTGGGGGCCATGCGTGTCCCTATTAACTTAAGCTCCTGCCCCCTATCCCCAGCATTGCCTCTCCAGATGTGCCGCCACCCCCCTCGCGAAAAGACCGTTCTGGTGGGCCGCCGGGCGGTGCTGGAGGTGACTGTGTCCCGCTCGGGGGGCCACGTGTGCTGGTTGCGGGAGGGGGCCGAGCTGTGCCCGGGAGATAAGTATGAGATGCGCAGCCACGGCCCCACCCACAGCCTGGTCATCCATGACGTTCGACCTGAGGACCAGGGCACCTACTGCTGCCAGGCTGGCCAGGACAGCGCCCACACACGGCTGCTGGTAGAGGGTGAGTAAAGTCAACTGGGCAGAGGCAGGAGGGCGAGGGCGCCTGGGAGCTGATGGGTTAAGCCACACCTGGCTTTCCAGGACTTGGGGTGGCAACGGGTCCTGGGATACGTCGGAGGTGGGGATGGGGGAGGGGAAGGGTAGAGCACACCTAGGGCTGGAAAGCCCTGGAACCGCTTGGCTCAGATCAGCTGCTCCTGGTCAGCTGTTCCCACCCTTCTACGCCCCTTCCTGCCAGGCTTCTCTCTCCTGCCACTGGACCATGTTTGTCTCTCATGAACAGCCCTGTTTCTACCAGTTCCTTTCCTCCCCACTTCCCCAACACTGCCTGCCTCCAGCCTGTCCCTCCTCTCTCCTGCCCTCTGCCCAGCTTGCCTCTACCCATCTCAGCAAGTTCTATGTCAGCCTCGCCAGGAGCCTCTTTCTTTCCTCTTCCACGTAGGAGACATCCCACCTTCTATCCCGAATCCCAGCATTCCCTTCAGGTGCTGCCCTGTGCCCCATCCCTAGCTGACCCCCACCTTCCTGCTGCCAAGACAGCCCTGACCAAGACGGAGAAAGGGTAGGGCATAGCCTGGGGCCCCAGCTCTTCCTGTACTGGTGTCCAGGCTCTGCCAGGGGAGAGAAAGGTGGTACCCACTCTCTCCCCAGCCACATGTGGAGTCATTCCTCTGCAGGTAACTAGGAGGACCGAACCAGGCCAGGCGGGTGCCCTTGGACAATTTGGAAGGCGTGCGCCCTTACCCTGGGCAGGGGTAGAGAGACAGGGAAACCAGAGGTGTCAGGAGACAATAAAAGTGCTACAGCTCATTTCCTTGCCTCTCTGAGTGATGTGGGAGGGCAGACCTTGCCTGGAGCCTCTGTGCAGTGAGCGACACTGGGGACCGAGGGCTGTAGTGCTTGTACCTGGCCCATGAAAGTGCCAGCCACCAAAGACCACCATTCCTGGCAGAGGCCACGCAGTTTGGCACATTTATAAAAGATGTAAAACAGAGTGGGGTGGGGGAGACAGAAGCATGAGGTGTCCAGGTTGGCATGACAGACACCAGACATGCACCGTGCATTTCAGCCCCTCCCCAACTCCCTTCCCAACCCAGCCCAGAGCAGCACCCCCCACCCCCATCTCCTGCCACTGCCCTCAGGCTGGTGGCTTTGCAGAGGCCAGGGGACCAGGGTGAGGGGTGCTACAGTTTGCCCCATAGACAAGGACAAGAACCCTTACATGAGTCTGGCTGGGAGGCAGGGCGATGGGAAGGAAGGCAGCCCCTCCGCGGAGACATGCAGGAGGTGGCCCATGGGACCCCGGCAGGGGGTGAGGAGGTGGGGTTGAGCCTGGAGAAACCCTACCAGTCAGAAATCTAAGGCAAGGGTCCCAGCGTCCCCTCCAAGCCCGCCCACCCCTGCACACATACACACAGACACACGGGCAACACACTCACAACCCTGAGCACACCCCAATGGGGTTCACACCCCGAGTTCCTCAGGAGCCTCTTGGGAGCTTGGGAGGGGGCTTTCCTCTCAGACCAAGACTCGCCTGAGACAATCCTCCCTTCTAGTGACCAGGCCAGCCCTCTCCAGGCTGGGGAGAGGGACAGCCAAAGCCAGGGGGCTAAGTGGCAGCCTAGCAGGCCTCCCCGAGCTGGCAGAGCTGGTGACTGCAGAGTCTAGACAGGCAGATATGGCTATACCCGCACCGGGGGGCCTGAGCAGGCTGTCAGAGGCCCCCGGGACCCATACTCATAGTCCGCATCTGTGGGTGAGGCCATGAAGGAGCTCAGGGAGCTCCCGGTCTGCCGGTCTCGGAAGCTCTGGATATAGCTCTGTGGGGGAGCAAACATAGGTGTGAGAGTCCCACCGCAGAATCCTGCCCTAAAAGCCACCTCTTCCTGAATTCCTACATGCCTGACACCCCTGTAGACTGCCATTGATCCAGAGTCCACAGCCCTGAGACCCCACCACATAACATATCCCACTTAAAACCCATACTGAGGGCACCTTTCCCCCAATCCCCCCATCAGCTGGACCCACCAAGCCCCTGGTGCGTGGCCTCCGATGCATGGACAAATAGGCCTTCTAGATAGCACCCAGTCCATGGGGAAAGCCCAGTCCTGTTTGGACAGAGTTTCCACACTTCCTTCTCATTCTGGCTGGATGGGCCCAGGGAGCTCACCGGGGAGAGGACGTCTCCATTGAAGCGTTTGATGGGCACTGGCCTGCGCCGATAAGCAGGGTCTGGGGGCCCAGGCCTGGGAGGAGCCCGGGGACCTCTGTGGGGAGCCCGAGGAGGTCTCTTTTTCCGCCTTTTCTCCTTGCGATCTTCCTGCTGCCGAATCCGCATCAGTTGCACGCGTCGGCGCTGCCGGCTGATGACCACTGTGGTGGGATGGGTAGAGAAGGAGCTCAGAGGACTGTGCGCCTTATTTCCCCTGAGCCCTCCCTCTCTCTTCCCACCTGGGGCTCTAGGCTTCCAGATTCCTCTTGTCCATAACCCCTTACTCCCACCCTGTCACTTCCTTTCCTGGTCTCCTGCCTCTCAGAGGGGACTCCCCGCTGTTGTTGTTTTCTTCCATAGGTCTTTATGGAAGATTCCTAGGCTTCCAGGTACCCCCTTCCAGGCTGTCATCCCTCTCCCAATCACCTAGGCCAGCCACCATCATCTTTCCACTGGACAATCACAGCTGCTTCTTCACTGGTTTTCCCTACACTTGCTCCCTCTAATGCTTTCTACACTCAGCAGCAGAATGAGCATCCCAAAAACTAAATTAGATTCTATCCTCACCTACTTTAAACCTTCCAGTGGTGTCTCATTGCCCTTCCAATAAAATGTGGAGTGCTTCTTATGACCCAGAGGGTCCACGCAATCACCCTGGCTCCCACACCTCACCTTCCATACTCCTGCCCCACTTCCTCAAACAAGCTGAGCTCATTCCTTCTCAGGGCCCTCGCCCTTGCTGTTTCCTCTTCTCTAGCTCTTTGCATGGCTGGCCCCTTAGCCTTCAAGTGCCTGCTTACATATTACCTCCTTCAAGTAGCCTTCCCTGACCACCCTAACTCTAATAGCTTCCATAGGTCACTCTTTCACATTACCCTGCATGTCTCTGTCATATCACTCTACACAACTGGAATCATCTGGTTTGTTTGCATCTCTGTTATCTGTCTCCTGCCTGCCCTGAATGTACACCCATAAGGACAGGAACCTTGTCTGTGTTATCTCTGCTGTATCCCTGGTGCCTGGAATGGTGTCGGTGCAGAGCCAACACTCCATATGTTGTTGTGGAATGAATGATGGCACCTGGGTCCTATCCTCCCAGACCCTGAGCAAGTCAGCTCTCTACAGCCATCGAGGCCTTCTGCTGCTGTCCCCTACTCCTCAGTCACTCGGCCCCCCACCCATCCCTGGCCACCCACTCCTCTCATGTCCACCTTGGCCTGTGCCCCCTTACCTTCCGTGTGGGAGTCCCCCTCAGCTGTCACCCGCCACTGCA